CCCGTCCCTTCATCCCTCCCTCCCCATCCCTTCATCCCTCCCTGCCCCTCCCTTCACCTCTCCCTGCCCGTCCCTTCATCCCTCCCTGCCCATCCTGTCATCCCTTCCTGTCCGTCCCTTCATCCCTCCCTGCCCGTCCCTTCATGCCTCCCTCCCCATCCCTTCATCCCTACCTGCCCCCTTCATCTCTCTCTGCCCGTCCTGTCATCTCTCCCTGCCCGTCCCTTCATCCCTCCCTGCCCGTCCTGTCATCCCTCCCTGCCCATCCCTTCATCCCTCCCTGCCAGTCCCTTGATCTCTCCCTGCCCGTCCCTTCATCCCTCCCTGCCCGTCCCTTCCACCGCCCTTCCCGTCCCTTCATCCCTCCCTGCACGTCACTCCATCCCTCCCTACCCATCCCTTCATCCCTCCCTGCCCGTCCCTTCATCTCTCCCTGCCCGTCCTGTCATCTCTCCCTGCCCGTCCCTTCATGCCTCCCTGCCCGTCCCTTCATCCCTCCCTGCCCATTCCTTCATCCCTCCCTGACCGTCCTGTCATCCCTCCCTGCCTGTCCCTTCATCCCTCTCTGCCCGTCCCTTCATCCCTCCCTGCCCGTCCCTTCATGCCTCCCTCCCCATCCCTCCATCCCTCCCTGCCCGTCCCTTCATGCCTCCCTGCCCGTCCCTTCATCCCTCCCTGCCCATTCCTTCATCCCTCCCTGACCGTCCTGTCATCCCTCCCTGCCTGTCCCTTCATCCCTCTCTGCCCGTCCCTTCATCCCTCCCTGCCCGTTCCTTCATCCCTCCCAGCCCATCCTTTCATCCCTCCCTGCCCATCCCTTCATCTCTCCCTGCCCGTCCTTCATCCCTCCCTGCCCGTCCTGTCATCCCTCCCTGCCCATCCCTTCATCTCTCCGTTCCCATCCCTTCACCTCTCCCTGCCCGTCCCTTCATCCCTCCCTGCCCGTCCCTTCATCCCTTCCTGCCTGTCCCTTCATCCCTCACTGCCCATCCCTTCATCCCTCCCTGCCAGTCCCTTGATCTCTCCCTGCCCGTCCCTTCATCCCTCCCTGCCCGTCCCTTCATCCCTCCCTGCCCGTCCCTTCCACCGCCCTGCCCGTCCCTTCATCCCTCCCTGCACGTCACTTTTCCCTCCCTACCCATCCCTTCATCCCTCCCTGCCCGTCCCTTCATCTCTCCCTGCCCGTCCCTTCATGCCTCCCTGCCCGTCCCTTCATCCCTCCCTGCCCATTCCTTCATCCCTCCCTGACTGTCCTGTCATCCCTCCCTGCCTGTCCCTTCATCCCTCTCTGCCCGTCCCTTCATCCCTCCCTGCCCGTCCCTTCATGCCTCCCTCCCCATCCCTTCATCCCTCCCTGCCCGTCACTCCATCCCTCCCTGCTCATCCCTTCATCCCTCCCTGCCCATTCCTTCATCCCTCCCTGATCGTCCTGTCATCCCTCCCTGCCTGTCCCTTCATCCCTCCCTGCCTGTCCCTTCATCCCTCTCTGCCCGTCCCTTCATCCCTCCCTGCCCGTTCCTTCATCCCTCCCAGCCCATCCTTTCATCCCTCCCTGCCCATCCCTTCATCTCTCCCTGCCCATTCCTTCATCCCTCCCTGACCGTCCTGTCATCCCTCCCTGCCTGTCCCTTCATCCCTCTCTGCCCGTCCCTTCATCCCTCCCTGCCCGTCCCTTCATGCCTCCCTCCCCATCCCTTCATCCCTCCCTGCCCGTCACTCCATCCCTCCCTGCCCGTCCCTTCATCCCTCCCTGCCCATTCCTTCATCCCTCCCTGACCGTCCTGTCATCCCTCCCTGCCCGTCCTGTCATCCCTCCCTGCCCGTCACTCCATCCCTCCCTGCCCGTCCCTTCATCCCTCCCTGCCCATTCCTTCATCCCTCCCTGACCGTCCTGTCATCCCTCCCTGCCCGTCCTGTCATCCCTCCCTGCCCGTCCCTTCATCCCTCCCTTCCCGTCCCTTCATCCGCCCTGCCCGTCCCTTCATCCCTCCCTGCCCGTCCCTTCATCCCTTCCTTTCCCGTCCCTTCATCCCTCCCTGCCCGTCCCCTCATTCTGCCCTTCCCATCACTTCATCCCTCCCTCCCCATCCCTCATTCTCTCTCATCCCATCTGTCCATCCCTTCATGCCCTTTTGCCCCCCCTCCCTTCCCACTCATCCCATCTCTTGATCCCTCCCTTCCCATCCCTCCATCCCTCTCTCCCCATCGCTCCTTTCCTCCCTTCTCATCCTTCCATCCCTCTTTGCCCATCCCTTCATTCCTCTCTGCCTATTCCCCCGCCCCTCTCTCTCCATCCCTTCATCCCTCCCTTCCCATCTCTTCATCCCTCTCTCTGCCCATCCCTCCTTCCCTCGTGATCTGCAGATTCGTCACAAGTTGCGCAATCCGAACATGGCAAGCGTTCAGCTAGAAAGGTCTGGAGATCCTGATGCCCAGGAGGCCGGAGCGCGTTGTTCAGCGCCTGCTCAACCGGTTCAAGGCCAACAAGTACAACGGGAACAACTAATCGGCAATCTTTACCTCATGGATTGGGTGGATGTCCCAGAGAACATCCTGGCCCTTGATTTCGTGGGGGGCCATGACGTAGATGATGTGGTTGAAGGCAACCTGAATGGAGTGGGTGTGGAGGTTATTCTCTGAAGGGGGCGATGGGGCATGATGATGTGTGGAGAGGGTGTGGAGAAGGCCATGTTGCACCTGGATGTGTTTCATGATCAGGGATGTGATTCAAGACGTGCTGCTGTTTCGGAAGTTGATTAGGGTTTGTCTCTATGCTGGATGAAGAGGTCTTGTTGAGGGTTTTTTTTTCATTGCCAATAATATCTGTTGTGGTTTGCGGGTTTAATAATCAATGAAATATCGAGAAATATTTTTTAATATAATTGCTCAAATCGAGTGATAAATATATAGTCCGATATAGATGCAGTTATATATAACAAATATACATAGAACAGAAGTGATTAATTTACTGTCCAGTGATTACAACTCGTGGCACAAAAGATGTCCATTGCTGCGAAACTCTAATTACAAAATTGGCAAGTCGAAGCAATACGATCGCAACCAGGCCCCCAAATTGGTTTTGGGGGTGTCTGATTCATTAGACTTGCTTGTAATCCCTTGGTATGGCCATCAGAGTCTCCCCTTTAAAAAAGTCTGAAAAATCAGAGTAACAAGAGATTTTTTGTCTGATTATTCAGAGTTACCATTAATTTTTACGGTGATTTTAAAACGGGTGTTCTGTATGTCTATTTTCTCCTTCCCTTACCTAATCCAGGGGGAGGATCAGGCGACCCACCGAGGATGGTAGCGGGAGGATCAGGCGACCCACCGAGGCAGCAGGAGGGGTGGAATAGCGCTTGAGGACAGCATCTAAGTAAGCCTGAGCGGTAGTGATGGACCTAAAGCGGGGGCGCTCAGACGGGGGAAGGGCATTGCTAATCGCAAGCTGGGCGACAGCGTCTCGGGAAAGCCAGACAGAGCGGGCAAGGGCAGCGGCTGCAGCGGACTCGCGCTCAGCGGGTGTGGGGTCAGCGGGCAGCACAGCAGGGGGATCTGGGCAGGGGAGCATACCGTCAAGGTATGCAGAAAGCGGGTGGCCATCCTGCCGCTGGCCAGTGAGGTGGCGACGGAGGTCGGCGAGCCACGCCTCGAACTCTAGAGGCTGGCCTTCAGCGTCGAAGCGAAGCTCCGCCGCCATCAGGAGCAGTGCAGAACCGGACAGTGCGGTGCAAGGCAGTGCAGTGCAAGGCGGTGCAGCGCGGTGCAGTGCGGTGCGGGGCGGTGCAGTGCGGTGCAGGGCGGTGCAGTGCGGTACCGTGCGGTGCAGGTGAGGGGGGGAACCGTACCAGGGAGGGTGCAGGGCCGGAGGAGGCACGACGAGCGAGCTGCACTCAGCTCGGGGCAGGACGGCCGCGGACCCGACGGGGCGTGCGCAGGGCCGGCTGGGACGGGCGCGGGGCCGGCCGGGACGGTCGCGGGCCGGCTGGGACGCGCAAGGGCCGGCTGGGACGGGCGCGGCTCAGCTGGGACGGGCGCGAGGCCGGCTGGGAGGCGCGCGGGCCAGCTGGGACGGGCGTGGGCCGGCTGGGACAGGCGCAGGGGCGGAGGAGGACGAGGGCAGGGGTCCCTAGGGTAGCACGGGGGCCGCTAGGGCAGGCGCTGGGGCCGTCACGAGGGGCCGCGAGGGCGGGCGCTAGTGTTGTGTGATGTCATCATATGCTATCACATTCTGTCTGCCTCCCATCCCATGTTTTTCAACTTGCATGTGTGGTTTGAATGTGCAAGCATTTGTGTGTGGTGTGTTCTGGAGTTTGGGAATGTGTTTTGTGTTATTCTGTCTGAGCAGGTATTTGTGATAATAGATCTTGAGAAGATCTTTCCGACGCAACAAGAATCGCTTCAATCGGAGCAAGAACGCGAAAGCTATGAAGATTCAAAGTTCATGAGCTTGCGTTACAATTGCGGCGGTTACTAAGTGAAGTTGTGGGGTGACTTTATATGGAGTTGGGACCTTTGGGGTTGGGGAAACTTGTCACTCTACTGTAACAGCTGCAAATTGGTTGGGAACAACCAAGCTAGGTTGGCAAGGGTGGCCAACTTGGATGGATTGGTTGGGAAGGGACAAATGTCAAAGTTGGGGTTCCTATAGGGAGGGAATCTTTGTGCTTATGGGGTTTCCTTGGTTGGGGACTCTCTTGGGACCTTCCCTCTCATCCCTCTCTTCCTATCCCAACCTTTCTCTTGCTCCTTCTAATTCCTTGTGAGATTCTTGAACTTTGATTGAACCTTTGAGATTGAGTTAAGTTCTCCTCCTACAGCTTACCCCCTAGTGCGTCGAAAGCCATAGCGTCGCGAATACTTTATCAATCAACATGATTCAAATTGGGAACGGTAGCTGAGATTAAGAGCTACAACATATCCAAGTTTCGCGACATTCCAACGGCTAGTTGTTTGTCGACGTCGTTTCTGGTGAAGACGACTTTTCTGTCCAGAATTTCGGATTTATATTTTGAGTAATTCTAGCTCCTAAGTTCACCTAGACTCTGTCCTTAATCCTAACAAGTGGCATCAGAGCAATATTAAGGACATTGAGAGGAGTCTACAGAAGTTTGAAGACCCTTCTAGACCCACCATGGCCTGTGGGTGTGCCTAAGTGGTGTTCTAAAGGTTGGATGTGTCTTCCGCTAAGGGGAAACTCTGCCGAAATTTCGTGGACGCCGACACTTGTGAAAATATCGAGGGAGCTGAGTGTGGACAGCAAAGGGGAGCTGAAATTCGTCATTTCTCAAGGAGAAGATGAATGAGAGAGGAGGAGATGCTAATGGAAGAGGAGCTGTACCTGAGAAGACAAGTGAGCCGCCGCCATCAAAAGTTGAAGCTTTGGATGGCTCCAACTATGAGGAATGGAGCGGACGGATGAGGAGTGCCTTCAAACGCTACAAGCTACTGAAGATTGCTGTTGGGGAAGAGAAGATGCCGGAAGAAGGCGAAGCACGTGAACGGTGGATTGAGAAAAGCACGGTGCTTTTCGACCTCATCCTTCAATCGGTCAACAAGGAGATGTTCGAGCACATCAAGGATCTTGTGGAAGCGGATGATTCGGGTCCAAGGGCGTGGAAACTACTACGCGATGTGATTCAGCCCAACACTCTCCTGATGGTGATCGTGCTCGAGAAGGAACTTGCTGCCATCTCCATGCGACCAGGGGACGATGTGAAGCCGGTCCTTGACAAGATCAAGGACACCTATGCAAGGATGGCAGCAGCGGGCAGCAGTGTATCTCAGCTGCAGCAGTGCACCAAGATCATCTCGGTGTTGGACAACTCTTGGGACAACCTCATCCCCACCCTCAACTCTCAACAAGATCAATGGACACCTGAGTGGCTAAGGCAGCAGATTCTGCAGGAGGACTTCCGCAGACGCCATGTGGGAGGCGGTGCTGCCACTAAGACTGCTGAGGGGTATGGAGCTGCAGGGCGCGGCAGAGGAAGAGGGGGTTGGAGAGGCCGAGGCCGTGGGAGGAGCTTTGGCAGAGGTAGAGGCCGAGGTGACTATAATGAGGGGCATGGGAGCTCTAGTGGCAGGGGGAGTACCAGAATGGAGGGCACCTGCTGGTACTGCAAGAAGATAGGGCATCCTTGGTTCAAGTGCTTCAGCAGGCCGGAGGGATGGGCACCTCCAGGCATGAAGCCACCCAGTGGTGAACGCGCACAAGGTGGCGCTGTGCAAGGCTCAGGTGCACAAGGTGAAGGTGCACAAGGTAATGCCTATCCTGGTTTGTTTCTTATGGTTGAGGATGTGCATGGGCATGAGGGTGATGTGGGATTTGTGGGAAAGGTTGTGATGCACCCTCTCACGCACTGGGTGATTGATTCGGGTTGCACCAGTCACATGACCCCACGGGCAGATTTGCTTGATGAGGTAAAACCCCCTGGGAAGATTAAGTATGTGGCAGCAGCGTCAGGTGCTTTGCTCCCCGTGATTGGTGTTGGGAATGCCAAGGTTAAGGGAGCTAATGGGGAGCTTGTGGGGCTTGGGAATGTTCTGCTGGTTAAAGGCTTGTCTGCTAACCTTCTCTCTGTGCGGCGGCTGCAGAAGAGTAAGGCCGAAGTGACCTTTGGACCAACCAGCTGCCGTGCTAAGCTTGGGAAGAAGGTGCTGTGGAGTCTGGAAGAGGAGACCAGCTGCATCAAGGACCTGTGGCAGCTGCCCATCATCCCTTGGAATGGGAAGACTCCAACAGCAGCAACGGCAGCAGTGGCAAAGGCAACAGCAGGAGGAGATGCAACTGCACCAACTGATGGGGTCCTGGAAGCAGTCAAGAAAGTGCAGCAGCAGCAGACACATGGTGAGGTGCTTGCTGGTGTGGATGCGAGTGCGGCATGGGCTAAGGCTTCATCAAGGAGTGGAGAGGCCGATTGGGAGACATGGCATGAGAGGTTGTGTCATGTGAACTTCCCTATGCTGCAGAAGTTGGTGAAGAATGGGAGCCTGAAGGGCTTGGAGGTGAAAGGGGAAGTGAAGGAGATTGGGAGCTGCCCTACATGCTTGGAGACCAAGTTCTCCAAGTTCCCCTTCAACAGTGCAACTGGACCATCCAAGACCCCACTTGCACTTGTGCACATGGATGTGGTGGGGCCCACAAGAGCCCCTTCCCTCTCAGGCAGCCGCTATTTCTTGACAATTGTGGATGACCACACTCGGGCAGTGTGGGTTTACTCTTTGAAGAGCAAGGGGGAGGTGGCAGCGGCTGTCCTTAAAGAGTGGATGCCGAGAGCTCAGAGGGAATGCGGACACAAGGTGAAGGTGATCCGTAGTGACAATGGTGGGGAGTTCATTGGAGCTGATTTTGAGGGGGAGTTGAAGAGGAAGGGGATCCAGCATCAACTGACAGTGCCCTACAACCCACAGCAGAATGGCGTGGCTGAGAGGTTCAACAGGACCCTGCAGGAGGGGGCACGCACTCTCCTTGGGCGTGCAGGGCTGCCTGATCCGTTTTGGGTGTCTGCACTGAGGCAGGTCGCCCTTGTGAAGAACAGGGTGCTGGCTACAGTTGGAGATAAGGAGTGGATCCCATACGTCAAGTGGTATGGGAGTGCTCCAGCTGTGAACATGCTGAGGGCATTTGGGTGCATGGTGGTGTTTCATGTGCCTAAGGAGAAAAGGGGGAAGTTGGAGGCTTCTGGAAGATGGGGTGTGCACTTGGGGATTGCAAAGGATCACAAGGGGTGGCTGCTATGGGACTTGACCACCCAGAAGTTGACAGTGTCAAGGGATGTGAAGTTTCTTGAGTCCCTGTACTACAAGGAATGGAAGCAGCAGCAACAGAAGCTTCCATCTACACCGCTCATTGTGGAGGCAGATGAGGTGCAGCAGCCTTCAAGACAGGTGGAGGTTGCAGTGTCAGAGGAGGAGATGTCTGGGGTGACTGAGGAAGGGGGAGCAGCTGAAGTAGAGCAGCAGCAGCAGCAGCAGCATGAGTCTCCACCTCGAGTTCCACACCCGCCTGAGCGTCCTAGGAGGGATGTGCGCCCTCCAGTGAGGCTGACCTATGGGGGAAGAGGCAAGCCGAATGTGGTGCAGGCTGGGAGTGTGGTTGAGCAGATTGAGGAAGATGAGATCGCTCACTGCTACTGGGCACCAATCCCTGAGCCCAAGACTCGAGAAGAGGCCTTGAATGGACCAAATGGGGAGAAGTGGAAGGCGAGTGAGGATGAGGAGTTCGGGTCCCTAATTGAGAACGAGACATGGGACCTGTGTGACTTGCCTCCTGGAAAGAAGGCAATCACTTCCAAGATGATCTACAGGCACAAGTATGGACCTGAAGGGGAGCTGACCCGCTACAAGTCTAGGCTTGTGGCACGGGGGTTTCAGCAGACAAAGGGGAAGGACTATGATGAGGTGTTTGCTCCTGTGGGGAAAGGAACAACATTGAGGGTGCTGTTGGCGATAGCTGCACTCCTGGGATGGAAGATTCGGCAGATGGACATTGTGACTGCCTTTCTGAATGGGATCATTCTGGAGGAGGTGTACATGAAGCAGCCAGAGGGGCTGGATGATGGGAGCGGCAGGGTCTGCAGGCTGAAGAAGGCCATCTATGGCCTTAAGCAGGCGCCTCGTGCATGGTATCACAAGTTGGAGGAGGCGCTGCTGGCTGGGGGTTTCAAGAAGAGTGAGTGTGACCCCAGCCTGTTCCTGCTGCAGGAGAAGGACGAAATCCTCATGCTCTTGGTGTATGTGGATGATATCCTTCTCTTTTCTGCATCAACTGCTTTGCTGGACAGCGCAGAGCAGATGCTGGAGATGCAGTTCAAGTGCTCCAAGATGGGTGAGGCGAAGTACTACTTGGGGATGCACGTGGAGAGAGATGTGGAAAAGGGTGTGCTGAGGTTGCACCAGAGGAAGTACTGTGAGGGGCTGGCTGAGAAGTATGGGCTGCAAGATGGGGGAAAGCCAGCAACACCACTACCTTCGGGGTTCACTGTGGAGCCATGTGCTGATGAGGAGGTAGTGGGTGATAGTGACAGGAAGCTGTTTCATTCGATGGTTGGGTCGCTGAATTATCCTGCAAATCATACACGGCCTGACATTGCATTTGCTACATCACGGTTGGCTAGTGTGGTCTCACGCCCTAGTCATGAGCAGCTGGAAGCGGCCAAGAGGTTGGTCCGCTATGTGAGTGCTACGGCATCAGTGGGATTGGAGTACAGTGGAGTGAGGCAGCGGTTGCAGAGAGGTGCTGCAGATGTGAAGAGTGGAGAGATGCTCTTGAGTTGCTATACTGACGCTAGCTTCAACTCAGTGAAAGCGGATGGCACCAGCATTGGGGGTTATGTGTGCTTGCTAGGAGGTGGTGCTGTGAGCTGGCGCAGCAAGAAGCAAAATGAGGTGGGATTGTCTTCATGTGAGACTGAGTACATGGCCTTACACCATGGGGCCAAGGAAGTGGTATGGCTGAGGCGTTTGTTGGAGGAGTTGGGAGTTGGTCAGGAGAAGCCGACAGTTGTGTTTTGTGACAATGAGTCCGCTGTGAAGCTCGCCAAGAATGCTTGTCTGCATGGGCTGACAAAACACATAAGGCCTAAGTGGCATTGGGTGAGGAGACTCCTTGATAAGGAGGTGCGGCTGGAGATAGTGAAGACCCATCAGCAGGCAGCAGATATTTTCACTAAGCGTCTGGCGGAGGCGGATCATTGGAAGGGCATGAAGCTTGCTGGGATGAGTGTGCATTGAGTATGCATGCTTGAGATGTGGTATGGTCGATGATGGTTGGCAGCCAGAGGGGGAGATTGTTGTGTGATGTCATCATATGCTATCACATTCTGTCTGCCTCCCATCCCATGTTTTTTCAACTTGCATGTGTGGTTTGAATGTGCAAGCATTTGTGTGTGGTGTGTTCTGGAGTTTGGGAATGTGTTTTGTGTTATTCTGTCTGAGCAGGTATTTGTGATAATAGATCTTGAGAAGATCTTTCCGACGCAACAAGAATCGCTTCAATCGGAGCAAGAACGCGAAAGCTATGAAGATTCAAAGTTCATGAGCTTGCGTTACAATTGCGGCGGTTACTAAGTGAAGTTGTGGGGTGACTTTATATGGAGTTGGGACCTTTGGGGTTGGGGAAACTTGTCACTCTACTGTAACAGCTGCAAATTGGTTGGGAACAACCAAGCTAGGTTGGCAAGGGTGGCCAACTTGGATGGATTGGTTGGGAAGGGACAAATGTCAAAGTTGGGGTTCCTATAGGGAGGGAATCTTTGTGCTTATGGGGTTTCCTTGGTTGGGGACTCTCTTGGGACCTTCCCTCTCATCCCTCTCTTCCTATCCCAACCTTTCTCTTGCTCCTTCTAATTCCTTGTGAGATTCTTGAACTTTGATTGAACCTTTGAGATTGAGTTAAGTTCTCCTCCTACAGCTTACCCCCTAGTGCGTCGAAAGCCATAGCGTCGCGAATACTTTATCAATCAACATGATTCAAATTGGGAACGGTAGCTGAGATTAAGAGCTACAACATATCCAAGTTTCGCGACATTCCAACGGCTAGTTGTTTGTCGACGTCGTTTCTTGTGAAGACGACTTTTCTGTCCAGAATTTCGGATTTATATTTTGAGTAATTCTAGCTCCTAAGTTCACCTAGACTCTGTCCTTAATCCTAACAGCTAGGGCGGGCACGAGGGGCCGCTAGGGCGGGTGCTAGGACGGGCACAAGGGGCCGCTAGGGCGGGCGCGACGGGGCCGCTAGGGCGGGCACGAGGGGCCGCTAGGGCGGGCGCTAGGGCAGGCACGAGGGGCCGCTAGGGTGGGGCGCGAGGCCGGCTAGGACGGGCGCTAGGGCGGGCGCGACGGGGCTGCCAAGACGGGCGCTAGGGCCGAGGGGAGGTGGCGCGCAGGGCGGGCGCGGCGAGGGCGCGGCTAGGGCGCGGCTAGGGCGGGCGCGGCTAGGGCGGGCGCGACTAGGGCGGGCGCTGCTAGGGCAGGCGCGACTAGGGCGGGTAGGTCCTAGAGCGGAAGCGTGGGTGAGCGGGACCTACCTATTTCTGATACCATCTTAGAAACTGAATGAATGAATAGAGAGAGAGAGAGTACAGGAATATATCTAAGTGTTGTACCCTCTAAGAGATGACCCTATACAGTCTATGCAAAGTATATGAGATACACATGTTTGACAGCTTTATCTTCTTGCGTTCTCTTGCTAACTGTGTGCTGGCGACAGCACACAGAATTTCGCGTCACCCTCGACCCGGCCCCGCGCCAGCGCTAATGGGGCGGGCAGAAAGGAATTGGGGGGCAGGCAAAGTAAAATTGCAGGGAGGGAGGGAAGTTGCGCCATCCACGTGGCTATTTCGTGAAGGGCCAATGGGCGCCCTCACACACACAACCCCCAGCAAACATCGGTATTTTTTTTCAAGGGCCAATCGGCCCCTCACACTCGCACTGCACAAAGTGGGAAGTGATTTTTGTGAAGGGCCAGTCCGCTCCCTCACACAGTCCCCATTACGCACTGGCCTTCAATTTTGGTGAAGGGCCGGTAACCGCCCTCACAAAGCCCCTCGCAAGCATCGCCCTCTGATTTTGGCTAAGGGCCAATCAGCGTCCCTCACACGTAAATCTCGCTCCTCCGGTATTACACAAATCAGAGTCATCCCCCCATACAAGGTTGAGGCATCAGAGTACACTAGTAGAAAAAGTCTGAAAAATCAGCGTAGGTACATAAATCTTCTCTGAAAAAACTGAGTCAAGTACAAAAAAAAAGTCTTCCCAATCAGAGTACACCCCCAAAAAAAGTCTGAATCAGAGTAAATAGTCTGCAATTTGGGGGCCTGATCGCAACTCTCCTTCGACGTCCACACCGAACCCCAATTTCCGAACCGAATTCCTCGACGCGACTCGGTTTGGTTGGGAATGTTGCGGGAAAGACGAAGACGTTCTTGACGACGATTCGCCAATTCCCAGCCAACCCCCTCCAAAGGGAGGGACTTCCCCTCAACACACCTTCGACTTGAAAAACCTCCCCCCCCCCTTCTCCGATGAAAACCTGATCGCAAAAGCACACAAGACCGATGCGGCCGATGCGGCTGAGTGTTATGCTTTGGTTGAAACGAAATGAGATGAGCGGCTCTCCGGGGATTGAATTCACCGAATGAGGAAGTGAAGAGAGGTTAACGCAATAAAAGGCCACAAACGAGCAACGTCGAGGTTGGTCGACAACCTCGTTCAGGGCGTGAGCGTACCGAGATCGCTTTTCTGCATAAAAAAATAGTAAATACAAACTCCTTGGTCTACAAAGCGGTTTAACGTGGTTTTTGGCGAAGTTAAGGCGATTGATCTTGCGAACTGGACATCACTCGTGTGGTTCGTTGGCGAAAGCCACGGAATGCATCCCGGGGTGGTTCGGTGCCAAAGTTACGGGCCGAACCATCCAACGCGTTGAGGGGAACAGTGCAGATTTGACCAAAACTTGGTTACTCAAAACCTGACAGCAGAAGCATGAAAAACGGGCTGTTAGGGCATGGTACATTGTATCAAAGTAAGCGCAAGTGAATGAATCATTATTGAGAGAGTACATGTGAATATACCTAAGTGTTGTACCCTCTAAAAGGTGGCCCTATACAGTCTATGCAAACATTAGAGATACACATATTTGACACACCCCCTAGACTGCATAGGGGCAGGTCCTGAACAAGCAGCTCGAGGCGGCACTACTAGTCCAGCCACTGATACAAGGGTCTAAAGACCAGTCAAAAGGAGTACAGGCAAGGCAAGAACAAGACCAGGGCTGCACTACTAGTCCAGCCACTGGTAGAGGACACAAGTCCAGTCTGAGTACATATAGATACATAAGACAGTACAAAATCAAGGCCCTAGCAAGTGAGAGGCTACAGGAACTAGGCCAAGCTGTACACAGTGCCGCTGATAATCTTTAGGCGCAAGCGCCTTCGTAAAGATATCAGCTGTGTTGGCACCAGAGGCCAGGTGTACTCTGCGAGCCTGGCGGCCCAGCTGTAGCTCGCGCAGGAGGAAGTACCGCAGCTGGATATGCTTCGCTCTGCCCTCGAGTCAAGGCTCTTGACACAGGAGGATCATGGCCCTGTTGTCAGCGTACAGGACCGGGGCACAGCTAGGCCGCTCACCTAAGTCAGTGAACAAGAAGGTCAGCCAGCGGAGCTCCTGTGCCGCCATGGCACCAGCGTAGATCTCGGCCTCACAGCTGGACTGGGCAACAGACGAGGAGCTGGTGGATCTCCACGAGACAGCAACAAAACAAAGGATAAAGCAGTAGCCATGTGAAGACCTGAGAGTCTCGGCGTCGTCTGCCCAAGAAGCGTCTGTGTGTCGAGTAAGGACCATTGGCCTCCGTCCTCCTACACTAACCCCATGCCTGATGTACTTGCGAGATAACGCAAAACCCTCTTAGCGACCGACCAGTGCTGTGGTCGGTGTCTGCCTGTGGCCACAACGCGAGTGAGGATGCTAAGAGGGTATGCGAGATCTGGACGAGTGCAAGTCATCAGGTACATGAGGCAACCCACCAGCTCTGCGTAAGGACCACCGGGCTCTACTGACTCCTCAGGAACTGGAGTGGAGAGTCTATGGTCTAGCGGGAGAGGGGTGGGCTATGCAAAGGAGAATTGAAGGCCGAACCTCTGAAGGACCTGGCGGACCAAGTGTGACTGAGTCAAGGTGATGGTGCACGCTGCTTTGTCCATGGAATCTGCAAGCCAAGGTAACGACGCAATTCTCCAAGGTCAGTGCAAGTGTGTCTCTTCAGCAGCTCTGCCTTCACGAAGGCTAACGCGTCCCTGTCTGCTGTGGCAAAGACCAGGTTGTCTACGTACACAAGGATGTAGAACGGAGTCTGGCCAGCATGAACGAAGAGTGAGGGGTCTGCAGAGGACAGAAAGAACAGCAGGTCAGCAAGGGTAGTACGTTGCGTGTCGTGCCACTCACGGGGAGCCTGCCACAGGCCGTAGACGGGACGCCGCAGGAGCCACTGGGTCCCAGGAGGGAAGGTGCCAGTAAAGCCCTGAGGGCGATGCAGGTAGACCTGCTCGTGTAGGCTGCTCTGAAGGAAGGCAGTGGAGAAGCCGAGGGAGTGAAGCTCGTAGTCACGCTGAGCTGCTAGGTGTAGCAGAACCCGAAGAGTAGTCATCTTTGGGGTCGGAGC